TTTCTTTCTTCGGTAGGGGGTTGCCCTTGGGTACAGGCAAGTTGGGATTGGTTTGGGGGTCAAAGGTCGAATGTCAAGTTCACTGTGGTGAGTTAAAGAAAGATGGTTTCCGGATGATAACTTTACAATAGAAATGTTATTTAGGTGTCTATCTTCAGTAGGGGTTTGCCCTTTGGAACAGGCAAGTCGGTCTAAAGGTCAAAGGTCAAGGTTGCCGTGGTGAAAGGTAAATGGTTTCCTGTTGATAATTTGAGTTAGAACTGAGATTTAGGTGTCTAACTTCGGTAAGGGGTTTCCCTTGGGTACAGGCCAGTTGGGATTGGTTTTGAGGTCTAAAGGGCAAAGGTCAAGGTCACCGTGTTGAGTTAAAGATAAATGGTTTTCAGTTGATAATTTGAGTAAGAACAGGGATTTTGGTGTCTAAATTCGATAGGGGGTTGCCATTGATCTCCATATATACAGACTGGATAGGACATGCGTCCGAACACCTTCCGCGCGCGTGTTTTTTTAAAAGGGTAAAGAACACAATTTCGCATTCGTGTTGTGTATACTTTCGAACGGAGGACTGAGAAATGAAGTTGGATTTTCTTCGGTCTCTTTGTCATTTTTGAAAGAATAAAAGGAACAGAATAAAAGGATCAAAACTGATCAAAATCGATGAGGATTATAGTCAAGGTGTGCGCAGCATTAGATTGCTGGAGTCGGTAAGTAAGGATCGTTGAAGAATAGGACAATTTTTCGAAAGTAAGTTGTGTTTTTTAACGAGGCCTACAACATAGGAATGACAAAGCAAATTATAATAGGCCTATCGTTAATTTTGACGTTCTGAGGGGCCGGATAGAGGCCTACTTAGTGTGGTAGCGAGATATTCTGTTCAAGCACGGAGATAGCTCCATGGTTCAAGTTCCATGCGATAGGCCTGTCATGCTGGTCGGCATAATTTTTTTTAAAGACATAAAAATTATACGTGACTGACCCAGCAATGGCAGTGAACAAAAGTTGACTTATTTAAATAGTTTATTGGAATAACTTTTATATGCAAAATCTGCGGATTGAATTAGGCCCTATTTCTGCCTTGGCTAACGCTCACCAAAATGGTCTATTCTTTTTCTTTATAAAGAGAAACTGAGGAGATGGTTTATACGTAACTAATTGCGCAACCGGCCGATTGACCTTCAAACAAAGAACTTCAGCAAAAACCACCGCTCACTAGTGCGGGACGATTTCCGAGACAAACGAAAATGGAGAACTTCACGGAGGGATGGAATCGACTGTATCATACACTGAATGGAACATGCGATGTGATAGGCATCACAGAGTTTGACCGTGACTTTAACTTAATCAATTCTTACTTGAATTTAATGACTGCGATGTGGAACTGCTAACATTGATTGATTTTTGTTTTTTGAAAGAAGCTGCCGACGCAAGTCTTTTTATGAGCTCCCAAGTTGACTGTCACATTATATTTGACAGTTTGTATGGTGGAGAAAGCAAAAAAGAGTAATTTACGGTTTGAAATTATAATAAACTTGTAAACACCGTTAAGATGACCAGCCATAGCCATAAATACACATGTTCGTTCATAAAAAAAGATTCCCATTACAAACATAATTGTATTTTTTTCCAGAAGTAAAATGGTTTCCTAATGATAACTTGAATTACAAATTTCATTGGGTTTCTAACTATAGAAGGGATCTGCCCTTGGGAACAGGAAAGTCGGGGTTGGTTTGGGGGCCTCAAGGTTAAAGGTCAAGGTCACCGTGGTGAATTAAAGGTAAAGGGTTTCCTGTTGATAATTTGAGTTAAAACTGAGGTTTTGGTGTCTAACTTACGTAGGCGGTTGCCCTTGGGTACGGGTACAGGCAAGTTGGGGAATGTTTTAGGGTCAAAAGGGCAAAGGTCAAGGTCACCGTGGTGAGTTAAAGGTCAATGGCTTCCGGATGATAACATGAGTTAGAACTGAGATTTTGGTGTCTTACTTCGGTTTATTTATTTATTTATATATTTATTACATTTATTTACCCAGGGTATGCCCAAACAGTTGAAAACTGGTTTCCATTGGGGCCCTGCATACAATAAATAATTACTACAAACATGTATATACGATACATTACAAATACAATAAAATTCAATACAGTGGGATAAAACATTATTTGATTAATGCATAGTTGTTAAGCAAATATTATAAATTCAATATGTTTTAAAACTATTATAACCCCATGTACAGTGTGAAGGCTTTACTATAAGGTGGATTCAGTGAACACGAAATATTTGGATCCATCTTGTAACATCAAGAAAAAAATACTGCTATAATTATATTCGCTGTTTGTTGGGGGTTGCCCTTGGGTACAGACAAGTTGGGATTGGTTTTGGAGTCAAAAGGTCAAAGGTGAAAGTCACTTTAGTGAGTTAAATTTTAATGGTTTCTGGATGATAAGTTGAGTTAAAACTGTCTAACTTCGGTAGGGGGTTGCCCTTGGGTACTGGCAAATTAGGATTGGTTTTGGGGCCTAAAGGGCAAAGGTCAAGGTCACCGTGCTAAGTTAAAGGTTAATGGTTTCCGGATGATAACCTGAGTTAGAAGTGTGATTTGGGCGTCTAACGTCAGTAGGGGGTTGCCCTTGGGTAGTGGCAAGTTGGGATTGGTTGGGGGTCAAATAGTCTTCGTTCAAGTTCACCGTGGTGAGTTAAAGGTTAATGATTTGTGGATGATAACTTGATTTAGAAATGAGATTTTGGTTTCTTACCGCACAAGAGGGTTGCCCTTTGGGTACAGGCTCGTTGGGCTTGGTTTGAAGGTCAAAATGAATAAAGTTATACCCTCAAAAATAATCTATATTAGAGAGTCCTGAGAGCCATAAACTTGGGGAAGTGAAGAAATATGGCAATCAACCTCTGGCCCGGATTTGGGGCTTCCAATTCTGGGCATTTTGGATGTAATTGGGCTCAAAAATGTTGGGTTTTTTTGCCATGTTGTGGATGGATCGTTTTTCAAGATGGCTACTTTTCGGCTTTGGGAAAAATAGGGGTCGGCTTCTTTTGGGTGAGAATTTCTCGAAAAGTCAATGGCCAACCCACCAAAAACTGACAAGAAAATGAAAGATGACATGTTGATCATCATCTTTCTGTGCAGTTTAAATACCTGTGAGAGTTCTGAGTAGTTTTATAAGAATTTTGAAGTACGGGTATTTAGCACTAGTGCCTATAGAAATTTTAATACAGGGTTGCACTCTCATCTGTTCGATAGTTAGAATGGTTTCTCTGTCTCCATTGCAATTCACAACTTCAATTTAAAAGTCATTTATAGTCAAAGTCATACAAGGGCCATGAAATTAATTCTAAGGTACACTTTTTGTGCATTTTTCTACTCCTCTTTAAGATCTTAAAACTATTTTGACAATCCTTTTTGGTAAATTATATTAAAAGTTTCACTTTTTAAAGATTGAAAATTTGAACAAAGAAATTTACTAGAGCGGGGCTTGAACCTACGACCTCCGGACAGCCGTTCCCGGTGCTTTTACCAACCGAGCCAGCCAGCCCTATGTTGGCGGCTCCCAAGTTAGTCAATATCCTTGTTCAACGGGCGCTAGTCAGAAGCCATAAACCAGTATGCCATACAGCCAGGGATCACGCCCAAAGTCACGATACAGAACTGGAAAATAGCAAACGGGGATCATTCGGAGAGGATACGGATTTTATTCAATATTTTCAAATTCATTGTAGCGTCAGTACATCGCATGGAGTCAATGAGCAAATATTTCTCACAAAATAGTTTCATTGAGCAAATTTTTGGTTCACAGTTTGAACAGAAAACCCCTAATCTGAACAGTGTCTTCTTGAAATGACATCATAGCAACAACATTCTTGAGATTGACAATTTGTCATGCTTTTCCGGACAACTGTTGCTATGATCAAGAAGACACTGTTCAGTCTAGGGGGTTTCCTCCACAGCGATATTTAACCTTGGTGTTCATTAAATAGATCGCTGGTGTACATTTAATAAATCTGCTAAAGAACTGTTAAAAATATCGATTTACATTACTGAGTATACAGCTGTCTGTATAACTATTATTGTTTAAAACTAGCAAGATATGCAAAAAAGACATTTATTAAATAATACAGGATACAGTTTGTTGGGGCGTAGACGATGACTGCATCGCTTGCCACTCGGTAAGTATAAATTTAACCTTAACATCGTGGATAACTTAATGAACTTTAACTTTCTGTTGGCCTACTTTTTTTAACACGATATTACAATGAATTGAGATCACAAAAACCCACAATTTTTCTTCGCTATATTATGCATCACCCCTTTATAAATTACACTTGCTTTGTGTTACAGCTAAATACAATTATAATACCAACTTGACAAAAGTGCAACTTTTAAAAAGCTAGCTTGATTTAGCATATCGCTTGAGAAAAGAAACAAAGCGAATACTGATCATTATGGATCACTTTGAAAATGCCATCTATGCGTTATTTTATACGATATTGAAACAAAATAAAATATACGATATTGAAACGAAATGAAAAATACTATATTGAAACGAATAGTTAATAAAAATGCTTTATTAGGCGAAAAAAAGTCTCCGGTTTCTGGTGTGGAGCTTGCCCTAAAAGTGGTGCAGCGACGCGGCTTTTTTTTTTTTATTTTTTTGTTCTTCAATGTCGGCTGATGACTGCAAATGGTGCCAGACTAAATTTAGTGCAAAATTTAAGGGAGTCCAGAGAGGCCACATAAAGCTTATACTCGATCGTAACCCCCATCTAAAACACTTTAAATTGTGCAGCAGCAGGATTCCAGTCAAACCCTTTGGCCTTACTACCAAAGTAGCAAAAGTGCAACATTTGCGCAGACTAATAGATAGACTGCAAGCATAAATAATGAAAAGAAAACAGGGAAAACTCTCACCACGACAATATAGCCATCGTCTGATCACTTTCAAGACTATAAGATTCTGTCCCAGTGTAAGCACACGTGTAATAAAAAGGTAACGTTATCACGTTTCAGTTGTCTACTTGGCCATAATGAGCGAATGAGGGCGCCGTCTTTAGGGCTGGCCTAAAAATAGACGTCTCAGTTTATTGACGTAAGTTTACGGGTTGCTATACTTAAAAAACGACATTTTTTAAATCTGAAAATTGACCGATGTTTCTTTTGAATTTACTTTGTCTATCTTTATGCAAATTATGTAATTGAGCTTAATGGTCCCATATTACCTGCACTTATTTGCTAAAATATACGTATTTTTTTTCAACTGTCTGTGCCTCGTAATACAGCGCCCTCATTAGACCCATTGCTTTTGGTTTCCTACGCACAGAATTGGTAGAACACCCAGTCCGCGGATAAGCCTACATAACTCCAAGCACTTATACCAAGGTATACCGGCGTTGATATGTTGCGACGATGATACGCAGCGGCGTCCCACTCCAAGAAAGCCTCCTCCTGTCCTCCTTTGCCGACGGTCACCACGCCGTGTTTGAACTCGATCCAGAAGGGGCGACTTTCAGTGCCATTGACGATATCTCCCTCGATGTGTTGTGAACGCCCACCCAACAACTGTTGGCATTCCGGTGAGTCATGGACGAAACAGGCTCGGATAACCGACATCTGTGCGCTCCAGCCGCCAATGGCTGTTGATATCAATAAAACATTTGGCAAGAAAATATGCAAACCCAACATTATATTGACATGATTTTAGTTTCATTTTCATAAAAATAATTTTATATTATCCAGTGGACACGGGATAATTTGTCCCGTTAGTATAAATATTTACCTTTCCGAAGTCCGTTAAATTAACTTAATGGGCATAAATTATTATAATTATTGAAAAAAGGGGCTAGCAATAATTTTCAATTGTGTTTTTAACTCAAAAGAAACGTGTACAGAATCCGCCCACAATCACTTAATTATTCTCTTCGTTATTCTCTTCGTTATGTTTTAAGCAAGTTTTTAGCCGTTAAAAATAGATTAAATAAGGGTTGGTCAACACTCACTTATCCAGGCAAATACAGATACTTCTGTCTCGTCCTCCGCCAAGACTATATTGGCACTGCGTAGGGTCTTCACTTCGAAGTCCAACCGGAAAGGCGCCCTCAGTGGCTGCAAGATGAACGTGGCAGCTGCAGGGTTGGACGACTCCAAAAAGAATGAGCAAGCTGTGTGAAGTTGTGAACCCCGGGTAATACAGAAATAAACGAACAAAACCGACGGATATCAAAAAGAACTTTGTAGTCTTCACGAAATAAGAAGGTACATATATATAGTGTAAGAATGTTATAGGCCAATATTGTTTGATGTAAGCCTATATAAAGACCATTACATTGTATATCGTAGTGTGTTTGACCCTTGTGGGCGCTGTTGGATGGGGCTATCTACTTTAGGCTGTTACTGTACAGTTTCGGATTATCAATTGAAATTGCCCACTAACCGCAAAACAAATGTATAATTGAAAAAAAAATGGATGTTTACATTTACTTGTTCCGAGGACATAATAAGAAAATTGCCTAAAAACATTAAATCGGTCTGTGATCATTTACTTTAGACGGCATCGCTATTTTGCTTATGATTTTGCAAACTAGTAAATTAACTGCCATAGACCCCAGTGATTAATATGCCCATTCCGAAATTCAGGAAAAATACTGACATTTCTCCAAGGTGTTTGAGACAACACATCAAATTCAAAGCTTATATCATCATTTTCAAATTCTGTTCATTTTTGGGAGTTAACATGACTTTTGGAAGGAATTGCCATCAACATTTTGAAATGTAATTCCTGTGCTCTATTTCAAAATAGAGTAATTGTAGGGCCTAATTTCATCCGAATTTCAAAGAAATACGACTTCGCAGTCCTGTGCACGGCGTCCATATTATTGTTTTTTATAAACCCTCAAGTTTATGGCCAACAGAAATGCTCTAACAGAATTATCAAAAATATTGAAATTCGGGACTGTTTACTGGTCTGCAACCTTTACAGTACTGAAATCTTATTAAGTGTAAAACTAAACGATCACATGTCTCCAAAAACAGCGATACTAAGACTGAAAAAAGGTGAGTTGAGAAAAACATTGCATGTCAAAGAAATTGAATAACAGGGAAAAAGTCCACACCACGGTCCTTTTGAAAAGCAATCATGACTGCATAAAGATTCTTGTGGAACGTTATAGGACAAAAAGACTAACACTTGTTACTTCGCCTCCTAATTTGCATTTCGTATCAATACTGTTGGCAATCATGGCATTTCAGCAATCTTGTTGCACTGACAAATAGGCCTAAACAGATAGTGATATCAGAATTTTAGTCTTACACCGATTCTTTTGATAAGATTCGTTCAGTGCGCGCCATGACTATCATTTGGTTCAGTAGGATCATTCTAGAAACACTCACCATTTCGAGTGTTTCCCTTAATTAAGAACATACTTTAGTTGCACTTGAAATGGGAGACTTTTGAGACGTTGGTGGTAGAAAACATTCCGGTCTTTTTTCAATTGTTTACGTCATGTTTAAGTCAAAGCGCGCATGCTCAATATGACGCAAACCATGGAAAAAGGACCGTCATGTTCGCTGCCACCAACGTCTCAAAAGTCTCCCATTGCAATGGTATTAACACAATCACTTACATTTGGTGTCGTCGAGATTGCCTTGTTTACCACGGCACTCTGTTCTGAAAGCCGCGAAAGCCTTGTCACGAAGCGCGGTCAGATCATCACCGGGTGCAGCCTTGATCATGGCGCTACACATCTTTCCTCGTACGGGTAGCAAAGAGAGGGTACTAACAAACCCAAAAGCCAAAACTAACACCAACATTTTAAGTGGGTTTTTCGTTTGCAGGCAGCAGTTCTTCACTGCGGTATCTGCGTCACAACGGCGATCGCACCACTCCTTCGCGACTAGCCTTTACGTCTGAAAAAAATCACTTTGTTTTAATTGTCGTCATATAGTTTCCACGGTAACCGAAACGATGGTCATTGTTTGTAATTGTAATGGTTTCTCAATTGAACAATGGTCCGTCCACGTTGCTCCAGCCTATTTACATTAACGTCAAGCAACTGGATCGATATACGTCTTTAATTTGCCTCGAGGCCAGCTAATAAACGGGCGGGTTCCATTTTCTTCCTTCTTCGCTTAATTGACAATTACTCCATGCCCAAACGACTAAATTGCCTACTTTTATTAATAACATTGGGCTCAATTGCCTATATTTATTAATAACAATTGAACTTGTTTGCATGCAAAATATCTCTATATTTAAACTACTGCATTTCAGCCCGCAGTATTCCACATACAGCGTTTTATACCCTAGCGATACTCATCCTTGGTGTACATTTAATAGATCGACATCAATTACAAATTTATAGATGTTTCTACAACTGTTCTGTCGTCTGGTAACAATCAGGATTTTATTAAAATCACTATGTACACTGTTATGTCGGTTGTGTACTATATGAACCTAGCAACCAGTTGTGTAAATAAATTAAACAAGTTGTGTAATAGTTTACCCAAGTTGTGTAAACAACAGTTTACACAACGGGTTGCTAGGTTGATATAGTACACAACCGTTTGATTTTTACACAACCGAAATAACAGTGTATGCTGCAATACATTTGCCGGCTGAATAGACGTGCAATACAGTGACCTCATCACTAGTCACTGGGTATGTGCAGAACATTAACATCATGGATCACCTATTAAAACAACATTCAGTAATAATAATAATAATTATTATTATTACCTTGGATTGGACATTAATTTGGGAGACATCCCCATAGACTTGTGCACAAAATTTTTCAAACTTAAATGTGTCCTAACCCAATATTCCCTTGTCCTTTTCCCACGAATCTCGATATGTTTACTAATTAGATCACGAGCAACAAATATAATGTAATTGCGACTGTAAAATTTGGCCTCTAAGGGGGGGGGGGGGGGTTCTGTGACATTATGGAGACATGAAAATGTCTCCCTAATAACCGATGTCTCCCATCGTGCGAAGAAATTACGATAACCTGCAGCCTTACCCACAGACCACGAATCCATTGAACCACGAGGACACAATGTCTGGACGTTATTTTAAACGATGTTTAAATCAAACTTGCATTCATTTTTACGTTATTATGAAAAAACCCCATTATTTTAAACTTACACCTTCTTGACAATACCCTTTTGGAAAAAAAGGTTAACTACCGAGCTGACCAAAGTGCAAAGTTTGAACCATAAGCATATAAATGGGAAAAAATGAACAGCAAAACATTATACTCAACGATGTATCTCTGTATTTATTACAAACTATATCCCGCACTCTTCCACATACAGCATTTTTTCCCCAGCAATACTCATCCCTGGTGTGTATGTAATAGATAAATCATTTACAAATTCATGAAGTCTTTATAATTACTACACCTCATAAGTATTCATGATCATATTGGAGCGCATCATTGGCCGATTCCGCCGCGCGTCTGGGAAGTAAAAATGATACGCGCCCATGCAGGAGACGTCAACCCGGTGAGTATCCAGCTCGCCGCCGTGCGGTAGTTTTTCTGGTAGCATCAAAAATTCCCTCTGGAACCCGCCTCGTAGGCATGTAGTCTAAGGCATGTAATCTTTCCCGAACCAGTCTGTTGTTGTAATCTGCTACTACTGAAGTGTAGACACATTAACGAGTGTTGGCACCAGACTATTTCATGTACTTGTAACGAAGAACTTGAATTGTGCTGAGTAAACGAAGGCCGTTTGACAGTGAGGTTGCTAAATATTTATGAGGTGTAGTAAAACAAATACAGCATGGTTTATTTCTGGAAAATACTAGTTGGAATTACTGGTCCCCCGGTGTAGGTCAGCTTGACTACCTCCCCCGCTTCGCGTCGGGAGGTAGTCAAGCTGACCTACGTACACCTCGGGACCAGTAATTCCCACTACTACCCCTCAAACCATGCTGTATTTGTATACTCTTCTATGGTCTAGTAACAAGCAAGATACACATAAAATCACATTTATAAAATACATGCTGCATTAAATACATGCTGATACATTTGTCGGGTGCATAGATGTGCACTAGTGACTGCATTGCAAGTCATGTGTGTAAAATAACACCATGGATCACTTCAACAAAATTCCATATTAAAAATATTTTCTGTACTTTCTTTACACGATCACAAAAAAACAAACTTGAATACATTTCTCTTAGCTTTCGCTCTTCTACACATTACGTATACTTTACAATAGTTAAAACATGCTTGATAATTTTTTAAACTGACACAATTGCAACGTTTGTACCGACAATGGTTTACTTTAGACTATAAGCATATCAATTACAAAAGCGCGAAGATTTAACATTATGGATCACTTAAATACAATTCCATATGTACGTTATTTATACGATATTAAAACGAATTAACATCATCAAAAACCAACCTACATGCATTTTCGTCGCTACAATACGTCACTCCTCTACAATTCATAATTTGCTTGACAATAGTTGATAAAAATGCTTTAAAACTACCAAAGCGACAAAACGCCAACATTTGCAAAGACTATTTCAGACTGTAAGCACATAAGATGAAAAAATAAAAAAGTAAATTCTAGTACTTTCAACACAACAATATACCCCTTGTCCAATTTGATCATTTCCAAAACTATGACTTATATTTTCGTGACGCAGGTAGGGTGTCAACCTCGTTCTCACTTGTCTCCCATTTAGCACATGTAGAGAAAGTATGACGGTTGCTATACTTAAAAAACGACATTTCTTAAAATCATAAGATTGCAGTATTTTGCTGAATTGCCTAAATATTTCTGTCTGAACCTCGAAATACAGCACCCTCATCATGCCCAATGCTTTTGTTTTTTTAAGCACAGAATTGGTAGAACACCCACTCCGCGGGTACATGTCTCCAAGAACTTATACCGACGTATACGGGCGTTGATATGTGGCGATGATGATACGCAGCGGCGTCCCACTCCAAGAAAGCCTCCTCCTGTCCTCCTTTGCCGACGGTCACCACGCCGTGTTTGTACGCCATCCAAAAGGGGCGACTTTCACTGTCGACGACGATATCTACCTCGATGTGCTCTGAACGCCCACCCAGCAACTGGTGGCATTCCTGTGAGGCATAGACGAAACAGGCACGGATGGCCGACCTCTGTCTTGACCAGCCACCTATGGCTGTAGAATGAAAGAGTATCAAACAAAAGTTGGAGGTGTCATTAACTGAATATGGTAAGTGTGATTTTCCAACCAGATAAAATCTCTTTTCAATGAGATTTAAATCACTTCCTCAAGAAAGCTCTTTCGCGTGCGATGGTATCACGAGATGTATCTTATTATGCATGTCCTTATATCCGAACTCCATGGAATTCCCCCAGGCCGGTGATCGCACGTCTTGATTGGCTCTTGTGGTACATTTAAAAAAAGAGAACAACATTAAGTGACTAAACAATAAATCAATGACACTCACTGATCCAGGCAAAGACAGACGCTTCTGTCTTTTCCTCCGCCAGGACTATTATGGCATCGCGGTGGGTCTTTACATCGAAGTCCAACAGGAAAGGCGCCCTCAGCGGCTGCAAGATGAACGTGGCAACTGGAGGGTCGGACGGCTCCAAAGTGAACGAGCAAGCTATGTGAACCCCAGGTCATAAATAAACAGATAATACATAAAGATATTTATCAGGCTATAGGATATGTGTTAATAAGAAGATTTATGCTACACATTAATATGACACAGGGTAATTACTTGGGCTTCTATATAGAACTATCACTGTTTGTATAAGAACCATTATATCGTGGTGTTTTCTGCCACTTGAGGACGCTGTTTGAAAGGTAAATCCTCTGAACAGTTTTATAATTATTGGTGAAAGAGACATTTATACTCTTGCACATTCCCCTGTGCATCAATCGAAAAGAACGCATGTTAAAAACAAGAACATTACCCAAAAATAGAGCCCCTTTATCTTGATACTGTGATAACTTCTCTAAAAAAAAGACCAAAAGCGTAAACAAAACCCAAAAGGTCTTAAAGCATTTTTGAAGTGGCGATAGTAAAACTAAAAAAAGGAAATTGAGAAAACCATTTGCATTTCAAGAAATTTGAATCACGCAAAAACTCAATTGCATGGTTCTTTAAAGGATCCTATTCTTGATTACATTCATTGTCATGTGGACCTATTCTTGATTACATAAAGCCCCATGTGAAATATTATGATTTAAAGGCTAAAACTAACTTCGCATTCTAATTGCACACGTTTCGTATAACGCTAGAAAATAGTCATTTTAGAAATCAAACTTTTGCTAACAAATGCATTTATAGTGCAATTCTTACATTGATACTTTACTTCTCATGAAAAAAAACCCACTCTTTTCTGTTCAGTGCGCTTCATGCTTCTCATTTTGTTATACAGTATAGAAACAATTCTTGAGTTTTCCCCTGTAGGCCCCCCCCCCAAAAAAAAACAAACAGGCTCCGGTTTCTGATATGCGCGCGCGTCGCCGTAGCCATGCGCGTCGGCAAAATGACATTCAAAAATATTGGTTCTGCCATTTGGGGTGCGTTTTTTTAAACTCACCCTGTACAGACACTTGAAAAAAAAAGAGAAGTGAGAGCAAGTAGCATTTCAAGAAATTCGTATCACGGGAAAAACTCCATTACATGGTCCTTTAAAAATGTGTTCTCCATTAGATGAAGCCCCGTGTTACTATATGATAACGAAACTAAATGTGGTAATTACTTCCTCTGCTAATTTGCATAGGTTTCTAAGAACGCTTGCAAACAAATCATTGTACACGTATATTTTTGCTAACAAATGAACTAATTACAGTGCAGTTGATTCGTCTCGTAAATTTCTTCTTTTTTTTTAGTGCGCGTTATGCTTCTCATTTTATTAAGCCACCCGCCACAGTTGTGATTTTTTCCCGTAAGATAATATACTATAGTCTTGCTTATAACTGATTTTCATGGAGTAGAATCACTTACATTTGGTGTCGTTGAGATTGCCTTGTTTACCACGGCACTCGGTTCTGAAAGCCGCGAAAGCCTTCTCACGAAGCGCGGTCAGATCATCACCGGGTGCAGCCTTGATCATGGCGCTACACATCTTCCCTCGTACGGGTAGCAAAGAGAGGGTACTAACAAACCCAAAAGCCAAAACTAACACCAACATTTTGCGCGGGTAAGTCAGCCAGCAGCCAGCAGTTCCTCACTTTCGTATCTGCGTCAAACGGCGAGCGCACCACTCCCTTTCGAGACCAGCCATTGCGCGTGCTCGTTCCTTACACTAACCCCTGGCTGTGCAACCTCGTCCCCAGTGCTTACCATATTTCCAACCGCGTTTCCAATAGTAAACCCTGGATAGGAACCTTTCTTCCTGTATCCTGATTGGATACCGCAATTGGCTAGTAATGGATTTTTATCGTGTACTTGGTGCTATTATTCACAACGTGCAGTACGTGTTTTCGCAATCATTCGTCCACGCCTTCTCGAAAATACTAATTTCTTTTCCAATTTGCTCATATTAATATGAAATATGATACTGCATGTTGTCTCGATAAGATCGTAACAGTTTGATTTCAAAAATCGTGTTTTCGTAACTCACGCCGTGCTCGCGCTGCTACGAATTGACTCTGTTTTTACCCTAGACACCGCATACAAAAACAAACGCTAATGTGTAACGCATATCCAGGCACCAGACTGTTCCTCATTTGCATACGTGTGCAAAAATCTTGCACATGCAAATGATCCAATACCAGGGTGAGAGAGCAGGTAGTGGTGGGCGCGTACTGCTCGACACCCTGGGGACGAGGTTGCTGGCTGTGATGATGACGTAAATGACACTGAATGGCTATTCACAGCGTACTGCGCGGGCATTTCGAAGATTGCACGCCGGGCGCGCCCTAGCCTTTCACCAAGGCCATGTTAAGACATGCCCGCATTCAAAGCGGCGAAAACGCGAAGCGACTGGAGATGGAGACCACACATGCGAGTGGCAAAGCCACGAGGGCCTTTTGCAACTTCTTATGCTTTTCTTTATAATCTCGATTTTTGCTACCCCAAAAGGGTAGCAAAATTCCAACCAATCATCAGCCTGTTTGTGCGTGCGTGGCTACTACCCGGACGCGTATTTTTTATTCCTAGGAGGGTTAGGGGCAATGTCATGAATAATTCATGTTTATCCATGAGAACGGACAATGACATCAACAGCGTTGTTGTTAGTTACTCAACTAGTTACAATACATTAAAGCATTTTAAAGAACGGTTGTCGTCGAGCTACCACGCAGTAGCCTAGTGGATATCGAGATGAGCTATGGATACAAAGATCCCTGGTTCGAATCCACGTCGTCGATGCTCATTTTCATCAGCTATTTTTCTTCTCCAAATTTATCACTGAGATAATTTTAAATTAAGGGGAAAATAGAACGAGAACCCAAGTCTTGCAATGATTCAAAGGAAAAACGGAACTATTCATGACATTGCCCCTAACCCTCCTAGGAAAAAAAAAAAGGCGCCCGGATGCTTGCACAAAATTTAAAAACAAAAAATGCGAGTCTAGTTTTCCACGAGATCGTGACCGTTAATTGTTCTTACATAATCTGATTTTAACTTTACTTATAAAGGTATTTATTTGAGGGTGTGAATTTATTTTTCATCTGAACTTACAGTTATTTGCTCTTACGTTTTCCTTACTCACCCTTCTCTTAAAAATGGAAGCGACTAGGCAAAATTCGCGTTGTGATTGGTTAACCTTCAGCACGCTTCTTATTTGCATAAAAACTATGAATAATTCAACAAAATCAAGTTGTAAAAGGCTTCGTGGCTCTGCCACTGGCTAGGCGCGCCCATAATGCGCTCGCGCTCGAAAGCTTTGCACGTAACGTCACGTACGAAAGAAAAAATATGATTCAAAAGTCGCGAAGCCTGTACGATATGGATTATGTCAGCCGCGATTTTCGCTAAAAAAAACCCCCTGTATCTGTGGTTGTAAAGGCACGAAAGGGGTACGTACATTTGATTCAAATCTTCGTCCAAACGCTGTGTTTGAAAGGATTAATTCTTCAAAATCACAACTTTTAACATTTTAAAGAAGGCGTCGGTACGTAAAACGGATAAACTGCAGCCCTAATTATAATGTACCGTATTTTGGTATATTTAAATTACACAATTCCAGGGGTTACGATCTCGCAAGGCACAGCCTCGACTCCAGGGGCGCGTGCTCGTTCCTTACACTAACCCCTGGCTGTGATGATGACGTAAATGACACTGAATGGCTATTCACAGCGTACTGCGCGGGCATTTCGAAGATTGTACGCCGGGCGCGCCCATAATGCGCTCGCGCGCTTAGCTTTGCACGTAACGTCACGTACGAAAAAAAAATTATGATTCAAAAGTCGAAGCCTGTACGATATGGATTATGTCAGCCGCGTTTTTCGCTAAAAAATACACCCTGTATGATCTGTGGTTGTAAAGGCACGAAAGGGGTTCGTACATTTAATACAAATCTTTGCTAATTAACACAACGTCCAAACGTTGTGTTTGAGGATTAATTCTTCAAAATCACAACTTTTAACATTTTAAAGATGGCGTCGGCACGTAAAACGGATAAACTGCAGCCCTAATTATAATGTACCGTATTTGGTACATTTAAATTACACAATTCCAGGGGTTACGATCGCGCAAGGCATGATGGGAAACAACATGGCGCTGCAAGATCGTACCCACGGGGCACGAAGTTGTAGTCAATCTGCCAAGCGTACGCGCTGGTTTGTTCCACGTTTGTACCCAGTCGATGGGAATTAATTTTCGCTGTGATTGGCTTCTACCCATTTGGGTAGTTTTGTATTCTTAAAAAACGCGCGCAGATTGTTTTGTTATTATTTCTTACACGCAATCAGCGTGTGTTGATGGGTGTAAATCGAGGACACACACGTGCAACATCAGCAATAAATTGTGGACAGGAACCAAATCGAGGACAACCTCGATTAAGAAAATTAAGATTAAGAAGAACATTAAGTGACTTCATGATGATATCAAAACATGTCATGTTGGGTCTCATTAAATGGACATTTTGCTTAGGCCTATAGAGAGAGAGAGAACAATTAGGTGTATTTTGGTCATTTAATATGTGCTAAGACTGGGATGTGTTGTGGGTGAACATTGAAGTGACGTCATGAATACACTTCATCACGTCATTTGACATGACATTAAAGGGGCATTTTTCAAAGGGGAATTTTTAAGGCGTATACCCAGAAATTTAAAGGTCCGTTTTTGTTGTTACTTATCGTCACCGACACCACGAACTGACACCCTCTGCATCACACGTGTACAAAAAAAAAAAAATCAAATTTTCTTTTTTGGCACATAATATGTTCTGAAACTGCGACTATGTGTTATACATGAAATTGAGTGACGTCGTGACTGTCCTCACATGTTACAGAGTCATTTCAAAAAGCCGAAACAGCTGTATTTTTTCCACGTGAAAAAAACCTTCAAATTTTTAACTATTTTTATGAACCACAAATTTTCGGGTGTCTTTTTTTCCAGGAAATGACAAATTACCCAACCCCCAACCTATCATTAGCTGCTACACGTGCAGCCGTGATACATCCTCTCAACATTCAACCGACCAGACAGCCACAAAAGCTGATTACCACAAATTGCTGTATATTTCTCATGTGATGTGCACTATACATCACCCTCACATCACCAGCGCGACTGGAAGGGATGATAAGGACGTGTTTTATGATATCTGGCTGTGTATGTACTAATGGTAATAGCTCACGACTGGATATGTTTATTCTGATCTTCGAAACAGCCATCCATTTCCCAAGTGGCTCATATATACACGCACAAGGTTTTTCCTAAAATTGATGGATACAATTGGTTCCAAGCAGTGACAGTACGTATGAAAGGATAGGCTTTTGTGATCTTTAGGGAAGAAAGCGCGAACGCACGATAAGCTCGGGCCGTCTTGCCGTGAAAGTCTCGTAATTATACAATTACTCACTTGGTCGTGATTTTTCCCATTTTGTTTAAAATCACAATGCAAAATTAAAGTGACCTTCATAATGCAACTGTATCCCTCACCCACTCGTAAAACTGACACAGGGCCAGAGGCAGGGGTGATGTATAGTCACTGAGGTGTGTAGAATCCCTAAGTGGATTACATACCACGTGACCTTTACATTTACTACATTTTCTGCCCTCCATGTACACAGTTTTCATAAACAAATCAACGAATTGTTTATTGTATATATATATTACATTCATAAATACCTCACGCGACATCGCGCAGAACATGCTACGCGCGCGTCAATCTCCATAAAAGGTTGTTTACATCTTACTCGCCAGCTGAACACTCCATTATTTTGCTAGAGGGATGTTTCAAAAAGCATGAAGTGAACTTGTCGAACAAAACCGGGATTTTTTAAACGAATTATTTGATTTTTTTTTACCGAAAAGGTATTTGTGAATGGGAATAAATGTGTGCTCGGTCGGTATTTATCACTGTGTTTAAGACCGCTTAGAGCCTCCGGCTCGGGTAATTATCAGCACCCAGACTCTAAGCGGTCTTAAACAGAGAGATAAAAACCTCCAGAGCATACATTTATTCCCTTATTTATATTGTTTGCTTTTTTGGACAATTGTAATTTGGTACTGACAGTTTTATGGATCACTTAGGGGGCTCGTTTTCGGTAAGTTTTTTTGGGGACCGAACGACCAACACCCAAGAGACTTGTACTTGAAGAAGCTCTGTTGCCAGAGCTTTAAAATACAAGTGGTCTTAAAATAATCTAAAAAGCTGTACAATTTAGATTTTACATCCCTAAATTCTGTTCCCTTTCTGTTCTTTGGTGCACAAGGCTTGTTTAGAGATGCATTCAATTTGATTGTTTGTTAACGTGAATGTTTCTCAACAATTCGTACAATGTCCGATATATAAATCAAATCCATTAGTCTACTTCCTCGTTAAAATTAGAGACCAGGCACTGAACAGAACACAAACAACCCCCCCCCCAAAAAAAAACCCACTGAAATTGAATCTGATACTCTTAAACCTTAAGAAAGTTTGTCCCTGACATTGCACCCTTTTCTCCACCCTGT